GGGAAAAATACCTCACAAAAAAAATAGATAAAAAGATACCTGTCCCATTCTTCAGCTGCGAATTGTCTGTGAACCACACTGCCTTGTTTTGCCTTTTGGAACGGCTTTGTCAGAAGGCCATCTTCCTTTATACTAAAGGTAGGGGAAAAGGAAGAAAAGTTAGTCAAGAACTTTTCATAAGCAATAATATTTCCATATGCCAAACTTCGCACTAACTTGAGTAACAAAAACTGTTATATTTCTAGTTTCTACATGAATAAAACCAAACTTCAGAGCCAACATCAGCTTATACTTAACTTCATTTGCAGAACAAAACCCGAAAGGCATTTACTTACAGTTAGCATTTGAAGAAAATTGCTTAAAACAGCAATTTGTAATATTTATTTTTATCAGTATTATCACTATAGAACCACAATGAAGAAACCCTGAAGATTCCTCAGTTTCACTCTACATTTAAAGTCCATAAATCTCAGTCAGACAGCCAAGTAAGAAGAGGAAGGACAGTATGTTCACTGAATAAGAGTGACTGCTAGTAACCCTCTCCCATCCTTTCATGCTAATGTCTCAACACCTCATTAAATAGCTCTGCCTCTCCTAGTGTAATCACAAGAATTGCTAATTTAAAACTTAAGCATTGTGTTGTGAACTACACTTGTCAATGGGCAGCTAAAAATACTTTCAGAATTGAACAAAATAATAAAAAATTATATACAAAGTGATGCACTTTAGCTAGTAAAAGGTATATTTATTTAGTTTTATTCCTCAAAAGAGGTGGAGAAAAGATTTTTCCATAACTGTCAGCTGGCAGAAAGAACAGAAGTCAGAAACCTCTAGAAAGCAAGCCAGGGAATTTATATTTCAAACTATGGATTCCTCAAAAGAAACTGTAAGCACAAAATTCCCATAACGAGTCTCTATAAAACAGCAATATGGAGAAAACTTAAGATTACTATTTTCCTTAAAGTGAAAATAATTATCATCATAGAGCAAGAAAAGGATATATACATTTACAGAGAACCCACATAAGAGCCCTACTGGGAATCAGCAGTAGTATGCCAGAACAAGGGCAATGATGATGTTTTTGAAAGGATCATGATGGCTAGTTAGTATTCCACCTAGGAAGTAGAATAGTATAACGTGTAATGGCCTTTTAAAGAAAATGAAAACTGAACAAAACCAGTCACTGTTTTAATGGAGAACAGCTATATTTATAAAATAAATGGAACTGCACAATGTCTGCTATTATTCCAATGATTCAAACATTAAATTTTTTTCCTAGAACACAGTCAGACTATATAAAACCCATTCTTTCAATTTTACTACAAAGGAAAATATGCAAGAGTCCTAGGAAAGTTTCCAGAAAGCCTTCTTAAATAAAGTCCAATAACAGAGCAAGGGAAAGACAGGGAAAAGGTAAGAAAAATACATGTATAATGTAGGCAAAATGTTCAGTATGGTGCAGAAAGCGTTGAAGGACTATGGTGCCAAAGCAAAATAAATACAGGAATAAATAAATAAAAATCTTAATAATATAATGAGATCAAACTACAAAATTCGAGGTCACTAATTGTTTGAACTACTGAAAGAACTGGCAAAGGTGATCTCAAATAAGAGATGTATAGTTACATTTCAGGGGTTGAGTATAACACAGTTCACCAAATCCCAGGTCTCTTCATAAATTAAATAATAAACAAGTAGCATCAGCTCCTCACTTCCTCCAAGCAGGTATTCTGTATCTACAAAGCCTGCTGTCACTTGGCCTTTTTTGCCTTGCTCTCTTAGCAGTTCCACATGTCCTGATGGATCACAGTGAAGTGATCAGCTCAGCCAAAACCCAGCAGTTGATACTAATGCTCGGAAAAATGAAACACTCTGCTCCGAGAACTGCAGGGCATATAGACACCAGATGGACGTGGCAGAATGGATCTTAATCAGCTGCCCCTGGGAGACAACATGTTTTGGCAAGCTTGACTTGAGGAGATGCAGGAATCAGAGATTGATTTTTCAAAAACCATTTCAACACCAGACTTTACATACCACAGCATAATCTTCTATACACATTAATAGGCCATTTGCACAAAATATATAAAGCAAAGTGTTAATTCTGTACTACATTACCTTTTAGACTTTTGTACAGACTTCTCTCCATTCTCCTCATCACTAAAATCAGAATCATAGCCTCCACAGCCATGTGCCTGAAAACAATAGACAACACAGTCAATATAATTGCTAATGGAATATGGACATGGCATAACTAATGATCAGTACTGTCCATCATGCATAAATAAAATAGTGAAAGACAGAGAGCAAGCAAGCAAGTGCAAATTCTCACATATGTCTAAACCAAACCAAATTCAACAGACAATTCAGAGTATATTCCAAATAACACAGGGCAAAGAAAGACGTCGTCAGTCTGTCAAACACCTTATAAATAATTTATATGCAGATGTCCCCATATTTAATCTTCACATAGATGCAGATAACCTAAAGTATGATAAACATCTTTGGTCTTTACTTTCAAATGATCTCCCTTACATAAGAAAAAGGTGAGCATTTTCCCCAGCGACTCCTTTCAGAGGGCTGGAGGACAGCAATTGCTGTGCCCACATTATAAACAAACAAAGATGAGAACAAAAGTTTCTTGGGCTGTGGTACAACATTGTAGATCATTAGATTTTACATCGGTAGCTGGAAAGCTGATTTAAATTATAACTAAAATACAAAATAACAATATGCTTGCAAAAATGTACTGTCTAATTAGCACAACATTCCTCCCATGAAATGAAATATTTTTTCCCACATACTTTGAGACAACAATGTTGTTAAATTAATGCACATAAGAAAAACAAAGTATCCCACATCTTGATGCCATCAAACAATCAAGCACTGACTGATGCCCAGATCTATCACTTCAGTTTTTCAAGTCACAGTTACACATGCAACTCTTCCAGCAGAAGTAGTGGCTTAAGTAGATCTCTTCTCCCTCATTCCTACACTGGTACCTTCCTTCCAGTTGCTCAGTTACAGCTGTGAAACTACATATGAACCAGATCAAACAACTCAAGTTACAAAGTATCCTATCCAAAAAAAGGTTATTTTAACCCAGGTAAGTTCCTGACAGTTCACCCAGAGCCCCACAACCAGCTACACCAACAGCTGGAGGGGTACCACAGGAAGAGAACTGCCAGAGCTGGGAAGGGTGTAAACCAGCACTGACACCAAAAAAGCATTTACACAACTTTAATATTTACACAACTGAGCTAAAAACAAGAGACGTGGTTATTACACATCCACATGGGGAAAGGTTCGACACATACTTCCTAAGTATCTTGGTAATTCAGACTGTGGATGAGAAAAGAAACTGGGTTAGAAATCCAGTGTATTTGATTCAGCATTGCTGAATCCTACGTTACCTATAATCATACTCCCCCTCAAACAAACCTGAGAAAAACAAAATCTGCAAAAAAGATACATCTTGCATCTTTTCAGGATGCTTTTGATGAGGTGCCTTCTCGCAGTGCAAATGCCTCTCAGAAATGCTATGCTGTCAACTGTTTCCTCTACTGACATCAACAACTGGTGTGTGAAGCAAGCCCGCTAACTTAGGGCTCCCAATAAAACATCAACTTAAACACAGTAAATGTACAAACACTGTAACCAATTGATGGCAGATAGAGATGTCAACTGTTTATGCCAATACAGGACACTGCAGGTTCCCCAGCATTGCATTTACAAGGATGTATTTGCATCTAGCAAAGGCACCTCCTTAACCCTCTCCACTGGGGTAAACGCACACAAGTGAAATGGACACATCATAGATAATGTTGACCACAAGAAAAAGGGTTTATTGTTTTTTTTTAAAAAAAGGGCAAAACAATCCTACACAAAATCCCAACTCGTGGCTCCTAACCTGAGCCCTAATCTTGCTACTCCCAAGTGTCACTCCCATCCTTTCTTTTATCTGCTCAGCACACAGGTGTGTGCTCATGTCTGCTCACAGCCTGGATGTGGCCCAAAACAGACCCAAGTGCTCATTCTGGTACAACCAACCTGCTCTGGGAGGGTCTGAAGGGAACATGGGATCTAGAACAGGCCTTGAGGGGCCGTCCTGGGTGGATAAAGGGTGCCATGAGGGGGGTCAGCACGCTTCACCACAAAATGCTCTTCCAACCCTGTTGTTGTCTTTGAGGCTTTACAAGCCCCACTTGGGGGGAAAAAAACCCCAGAGTAGCTTCAAACCTACTGTTTCTTGTAAAGCCAATTATGAGGAGTACTTGCATATACTGTACAGTGACCACCTAACAAAGAGAAAAGATAACCACAAGATACTGGCCCTTTATTAAAGCTCTAAACCTATGAAAGAAGCAGCAGGTGTAAAGCATAGGTAATAGCAGACCACGACGGTGAGGACTGGAGCTTTCTGGGGCTCCATGGCGAATAATCACACCGAAAACCGTCCCAGGTGGGTCCGACGCGACTTCCGAAGCCGTTCTCGTGACCTGAAAGCCACCCGGCCCGGCCCCAGCCCGCGGCCACCGGAGCAACCCTCGGGGCACAGCCCGCAGCCCCCTGCCCGCCGCTCGGGAGGGCGGCTCGGCCCCTTCCCCGCACAGGCACGGTCCCACCCCCGCCGCCATGGAGGCCGCGGCCTCCGCCGAGGCCTGTCAGCCGCGCCACCGCCGCCGCCGCCCGCCCCGCTCCCTCCGCCTCCCCCGTCCTTCCCGGGCCCCACTCACGGCCGCAGAGAGGCGCAGCTGGTTGGGCACCATAGCGGCGGCGCGGGCAGCGGGCTGGGGTCGCGGGCGAAGGCCACCTCCACCGCCTGACCCTGCTCGCCGGCCGCGGCGCTGCTCCGGCGGGCCCCTACCGGAAACCGAGGGCAGAGGCGGAGCAGGGCCGCGCCGGGAGCTGCCTCCCCCCCGCGGCTGGCGGGCGGGGCGGCCGGGAGCAGGGAGCCGGCGGAGCGCAGCGGGGCGCCGGCGGGCGGGGGAGGGCGAATCGCTCCGGCAGCGGAGGGGAGGGGAAAGGAAAGGAGCTCATCATGTTTAGGGGCGAGGGGAGTCTCCCTGCCCGGGAACCCGGTGCGCAGCCCCGGCGGCGGCGGTCTCCGCCTCTGGGAAGGTAGGACACAGCCGCAGTGGCTCCCAGAGAGACCTTAGCGAGCCCCTCTCCTCCCCATCCCGCTTCGCCCCCGCGGCATCCCCGGCGCTTTCAGGCAGGGGACACCGCGTTGGAGGAGCCGAGGTGGGGAGGGGGGATGCGGGCACCGGCGGCGAGGGTCCCTCGAGGAGGGGCCGGGGAGGCGGGGGTCGCGCTGGAGGAGGCCCCTCGGGGAGGAAGGGCCCCCTGAGGCCGCTCCTGGGCGGGCGGGAGCTGCCAGGCGTCCCCAGGGCCGGGCTTCGTGCAGTAGGTGTGTGCGCTGCCCTCACCGCAGCACAGAGCTCGTTCACAGCCGTGTTAACCCCCTGACAGCCTCGGCAAGGTAATACGTAACTGATTTCCACGTGTTTTAGCGGTTTCCCTTCTTTTCAATCGCATCTCGCAGTTAGAAGAGGGAAAGGCAATATGTGACCCAGTTGCTCTGTGAGGACCAACGGCAACAGGGTAATAGGAGTTGGGGAGCCTGTGGGTTGCATCAGAGAAAGGAGCTTTATAAACTAACCTGCTTTTTCATAAACTATCTGGGAAATGCAAATCTTCAGCATTAAGTCATCAGATACGGCAAGTAGCTGTCAAGGAGTTGATATTGATTCCCGTCAAACATTATGGCACACAATATCTGAACCAGCATTTTGACTGCCGAGGTCTGAAATATTTTAATCCATCACAGATATTTTCTTCTGGACTGTATCAGAGTTTCCAGGTGTGTTATTGATTCCTGGAGTCTTAAACCACAGATAATATAGGGAAATTTTCAAAATTGAAATACTACTACTGTCACTGTAATATGTAAGTTGTGATATATAAGTTGTACCTAGTTGCTGTTATGTAGTAAGGCAATCATGTGTCATAGTTGACAGGGTACCTCCTTACTTTGGCTACCGAATCTCAGTTTTAAAAGCAAAAGTGTTTTTATTCCTGACCTGATATTTGTGTCACTGGTTATGTTGTTATCACTCTGAAGGGATGTAAAGGTGATGCTAAAGTGTCCTGTGGAAAGGAACTGAGTATGGTTATTTGAGTGTATGCAGTATTCTGCTGAAATCTTACTGAATGTGGCCCATTTCCTCTAAAGGGCAGAAACTCTGTTGCAAAAATTGAATTATCCTAATTAATAATTTAAATATCTCAAAATAAATAATGTATACCTGTGAAGCTGTAATAGCAAGCATCTTTTTGTTGTTCCTCTGTTACGGAAATGACAGACTGCTTTAGTGTGAATGAATCCTGACATGATTCTGGAAACTAGGCCAATATATCATTGATTATGCACTTTGAAGAAAAGTGGGAAAGGTAGAGGAAAGATTTACAAATCTTGAATCTCTTGCCATTGTGCTGTGGCCACAAAAGCAGAAGCCTGCATAGAGTAAAAATGAAGTTTCTGGGACAGAGAAAAATTCTGTAGTGAGTCCAGCTATAGCAACTGTAGATGCTGAAGTTATTTTATAAACAGTTTTTCTGAGAATAGCAGCTAGATAATTTCATTTTACGATGTTATGCTTTTCTGATGTCTGACTGTGTTGCTTTCAAACATCGTCTGTCCACTTTCTATATGTGGGCTACAGTAATCTACAGCTGGGAAAGTGGATGAGAAGTGGCCTCCTAAATAAATTGGAAGTTGAGACTGGACCTGTCCTTAGCCTTTGGTATATGCTTTATAACTTTATCCTATGGGAGTATCTTCATAGTTTAAATAGAGCACCAATATGCTTTGACACCAAAAAGGACAATTCTGTCATATAAGTCCTGCCAGACTGAAAGATATGGGGAAAAAGAAGAGATGGGCATAACTCGTTGCAGGGTTGGAGATGCTACAGTTTTAAGTTTCATTTCAATGATTGTACAACCAAACTTTAGGATCACAGTTTTCCATTACAGGTAAACCAGCCTATGGGTTAGCTGCTGCTGAAGAGAGCATTCTTCTTCTTGAACTGGCACTAATGCTCATTTGACTATGTCTGCTGAACTGCAGTATTTAATTTTTTGCTAGGCTAGCGCCCCTGACTTTCCTGCCATGGTGTCTGAAGAGTAACACTGATGGTACAAAAAAAGGTTAGGGATGGAGGGATGGGGCAGGAGGGAAGGAGGAGGTGAGAAATAAGGGTGGCCCTTTCAGCAGCATTGTATTAGATCAGCTTAGCAGTAATGTGAAACTATACTCTTAAATTACCATAGTGCTGAACTTCACGGCCCACAAAGGAGATCACTGTAGTTCTTACTTTACTCCTGTCCAAAATCCCGAAATGTGCTAAGTATGAGATCTAGTGTATCCAGAAAGCTTAAGTCAGCCATGATTTTAAAACCTTCAAGAAGTAAACGTTTTCCCTCCCAAGTTTTCACATTGTCAACGTATTCTTACTCAACTTTAACCGCTCAGTTTTCTGATGGCTCAGTGTAACAATTCCATAGAAAGCTTTGGGAAGAAGAAATGGAAATTTCTTCCTCCAAAAAGTCATCCCAGGGATATTTTTAATATCACAAGGTAATGTCCATGATTCTAAAATAATCCCAAGAGTTCATCAGCTTCTCTGTATTTACATTCATAGTGCCTTTCTTCCAGTCAAATATGTAATCTCAGATCACATTATGTTATGCATGGAGACAGCCTCAGTATGCAAAAAAAACTAGACGAAAATTATTTTATTGAATTTGCCACTTCTCAGTCATCCAGATTCATTAAATGGGTGGTAAAACTGTTGTTGACATTAAGAGATTTATGAATACATACTGAGTCATGTAATTTGTACTGGAGAGTAAAAGGTATATTTTAATATCTGGGATGTGTGGGCAGGACAGACCTCTGACCTTCTTATCATTTGTGGGTAGCATTATGTTTACTTAAGTCACCTGATCATTTATTTATATACTTTTCCCATATTTTTATGCAGGGTAGTTTTATCAATGTGTATGTACCAAAAGAAGGTATTAAACCATGGAGATGCAGAATTCAAATAATCATACCTGACATACTTACTGAACTGTTCCTGAAAGCTTCCATTATAGGAGATTTCACAGCATAAATAGCTTAATCTATTAACCTCTCAGATATACAGATTTTTTTCCTAATATCCAAGATAAATCTCCATTGTTGCTAATTGAGATAATTTCTTAATGCCCTACACTAGTTGGTACAGAAAGCAAGAATCTTCTGGGTGACCTGTTCCAGTGTCTCACTACCCTCACAGTGAAGAATTTCTTCCTTATATTTAATCTAAATCTACCCTCTTTCAGTTTAAAACCATTACCCCTCATCCTTTCACTACAATCCCCAATAAAGAGTCCCTCCCCATCTTTCCTGTAGCCCCCTTTAGGTACTGGAAGGCCACTATAAAGTCTCCCTGGAGCCTTCTCCAGGCTGAACAACCCCAACTCTCAGCCTGTCCTCATGCCCCCAGTCTTCCCTTTCTGAAGCTAAAGAAATGAAAGTACTTCAACCTTTCCACATAGGTTACATTTTTGAGAACTCTTATATGTTTTATCGCTCTTCTTGAGACTTAGATTTCTCTCTATATTTCTAAGAAACACTAAGCATAGCTATTTAGTCCTTATCAGTATTTAGCTACGAAGAAATACCTCAACTTTCTTGCAGGAGATTATTGCCTCCTAAAATCTGTTTTGACCAAATTTGTTTGGTCAAAATTATTTTGGCAAGATAATTAAAAAATTGGTCCAATTTTTAATGAAATAAATTAGACAGCTTTACCAGCAGGCCAGAAGAGACAGCTACCATTAGTATGAAGAGCAAGGGCAAGGCTGTCACTGACAACCATATCCATTATAAGACCCATTTGCAGAAGACATGTATGACTACATTTGAGTTTGATTTTGAGAAAGTAATGTGGAACCATTGAGAATGCTAGTAAAATTGAGATTTATCCTGTCTAATCTTTCTTCTTTCTCCATTAAACCAGTTATTTTGTTGAAAAATGAGGAAATTGGACTTTCTAACATTATTTGATATTGGCACCTTCCTATCTTCTACATGTCTATGAAGTGAGTTGCCAGATCATTTATTTTCATGTCTTCATAGTACGAACAGTTTCATGGCATCTGTTGTGTTCCTCATTTTCATCTCCCTCTATCTGAAGCCCCCTAGTAATTTGTAGAAAAGCAAATAGAACTAAAAATGAATGTTCACATATGCCAGTAACATCATATTCAGTAAGCATAGTTCTTCTTTTAGATGTACCTGTGTGCATCTTTAGGGATGTGCTATGGCTCCCAACAGGCCCCAGGCAAGTTATATACTGCAGTCAGGCAGCTGACTCCCAAGCCTAAGACTTCCTGATAGTGGGGAAAAAACAGCGGGGCTGTACTGAGGGGGGCAATGGCTCACGCTCACCAGTTCCCATCACTGGGACTGGTCACTCCAGACTAGTCATTCAAAACTACTGTAATTCTGTAATCATCTAGAGATTATGTAAAGAGAGCAGGCTTGCAGTTCATATTTATTTTGACAAATTCAGTAAATGGTATGTTCCATATTTTGTGTCATACAAATGATATCAAACATGGAGTTTAATTAGTCACTAGATGTCAATCTTGCTGTGCTAAAAGGCAAATGCAGTTTTATTTGTGTGGCTGATAAAGTAATTTATTCAATAAAAGCACTTCTTGATTCAATTTTTTTTCCAGTAGAGTCAGTTACAAAAAATATCATAGACAAGCCCGTATTATGTCCATTATTTTGAGAGCAGCTGTGCTGTTTTATGCTATTTTGAAGTTGCAATTACCATTTCTGCATGTAATCATTGTTAGCAAAGTGCCTTTGAAAAAATAGCATCTGATTGTTCATCAGTTTCCTCCCTTGTTCCAAAATCCCAGACCTTTGTATAAGTAACTGCAATCATTGTATTGCATTGTATTTGTTAATAAGATAAAATAGAGATAATAATATGATATCTAATCCTATTATAAGAGTATAGAATTTCCTAAATTCCAATTATCAATGGAAATTTTCC